TGTCAATTCCTCATTGCTGACAATTTAATTTGAGATAATGCAAACTTGTTCCTATAGTTGTCCTGTTTTGATGTAATACTTGTATTATAAGATGATTTTAGGAAGAGAAATACTGTGGTGCTAAACCGTGTTTACTAAGAACTTGGAATATATTAGTTCAGTGATGGCGAACCTTTTAGAGACCAAGTGCCCAAACTGCAACCCAAAGCCACTTATGCAGTCGGGTGCCGGGTGGGTGTGGCCCATTGGGTGGGCGTGATTGGGTGGTAACGGCAAACTGGGTGGGACTAAAAAGTTCAATCAATCAATTCCAACTTTGCAAAAACTTTTTTTTCCCCACAAGAAGTTGAAATTGACTGATTGATTGAACCTTTTTTTTTTTTTGCACACGGCGGCGGAGGCCTAAAGTGAAAAGGTTTTATAAAACCCAGCTGAAGGCCTAGGACTGGGGCGATGGTGCGCGTGCCCACAGAGAGGGCTCTGAGTGCCGCCTCTGGCACCCGTGCCATAGGTTCGCCACCACTGTATTAGTTTATGAAGAACTTTGGATTTTTTTGAGCGTGGAACTGGAAGCTAAACCATACAATGAACAGTTGCAGGAACTGGTATATGTAGTCTAACAAAGAGAAGAACCAGGAGTGACATGATAACCGTCTGAGGGGCTATTAGAAAAGAGGAGGAGGGTCTCTAAAACACCTGAAGACAGGACAAGAGAGATCCAACTTAGATTTAAGAGAAATTTCCTAACAGTGCAGACAATCAGTGAAATGGTTTGCCTTGAGAAATTGTGGGTGCTCCATCACTGGAGGTTTTCAAGAAGAGACTGAACATCCATTTGTCCTGAATGGTATAGGTCCTGTTGCTTGAGTAGGGGGTTGAACTAAAAGACCCCCAAGGTCCCTTCCAACTCTGTTTATTCTATTATTTATTCATTTTAAAATGTATTTTTATGGAATTATATTTTTCCTACTTATATTTGTTAATTTTATATACTGGTTCCGGTCTCTCTTTTGCAATGAAATAATAATGTAATAAAAGTACACCAAAGCTCGGTCAACAATAAGGGAGAAAAGAATTATTAATCCAGAACAGTCAATTTATGTTAGGCAAATATCCAAAACCTGTCCAAGTGGACTAGAGTCCACAGAGGTATCTAAAGTAAACCACAATGTTGGCAAAATGAGGATGCACCCATGGTGAAGTAATCAAACAAATGTCAACTTCCTAACATTTGACACAAGGACATAAATCACAGCATTTATGTGATGTTACATCTGTTGTCAACCTGAGTTGTCTACATGCCTTCTCTGGTTTTCAGTCTCAAATAAAAAGTTAAGAAATTCAGACCAGTTGAAAAGGCAACAATGTCCATCACAGAACATGCAGAAGACATTTTCAAAACTTTGATTGGCTGCCATCCCCAAGTCATGCTTATTGCTTGCTGTCTGGCAATGGGAAATGGCAATTCATGTACTGGAACTTTGCTGATACTCTCCCAGCATACATTTCACACAAAAACTAGCAAGACTGGAGGAAGTGCGTCAAGCTCCACCCAAAGGATTGTTCCTTTCCAGTTACCATAATTGTTTTATTTCATAGCCAGTAGTAAAATAGGTCTGGGTGCCTTACATATGTTGTGCAATCAGTGCCCACAAGTTTATTTAACATCTGTTTCATCCTAATTCTTGAAAGCAATACTGCCATATATAGGTGGCTTAAGAAGTTATTCTTTACCAGATCAGACGAGTTGTCCATTTAGTCTGAGTTGTCAACATTTGTTTGGAAATTTCCAAGCCAAAGTCTGTTTTCAAATGGATACTCAGTTTTTAATTAGAGATGCCAAAAATGAACCTAGGAGCTATCTGTGAAGAATTGTTTCTGCCAATGGGAGCAAGAACACTATTCTGAATGGCATCCAGTTCTAGTTTGGAGAAATAGATTCAGTCCATAACTTATTAAAACTAGACCATGTTAAAATCAGCGCAACTGGAGATACTTTAAGGTCCAAATGATGGCCCTCTTTACAAAGTTTTAGGCAGTATCTGTTGGGATCCTTCTGTTACATAAAACTGTTGTCCCAGGAAAGGCTGGGTTGGTGCCTGGCATGCTCAACCTGATTAATAAGCAAACCAGGGGTTGAGATATTAAAAATAAGTTATATTTCTTCCTAGTAAAACAAACTTAAGACTGGCAATGCTTCTCAACGGCACAACAATCATGTCTGTGGGAAGCATCTATAGGCATCAGGAAGCAATAAAATAAACATTTGCAAATTCCTCAAAGTGGAATTCATGTATTCTGATGTAGATGTCATGAATCTAATCTCTCAATTCAGTTGGGTGGATGATTTGCAAGTATTGTGGTTGTTACCAAGCAAGCTTCCATAAAATATTAAAATTGCTAAAGAATCTCTCAATATAGCTAAAAAGTACAGGTACAAAATGGCTCTTACAAAATGGCTCAACACTGGGTCATCAAAACCAACAAGGTTTCAACTTCCTTTTAACGGGAAGTTTAACTACAGCATTAAGATTAAAAATGACCGTTTAAACACGTTGACAGAGAATTCTGTGATTCTGCAAACATCCAAGTCTGGAAAGCTGATCTAGTGGCTAAGTCAGATGCAAGCTGAGGAAGATGCAAACTTTTGAGAAAAGCCACCGTGCCCTAAGTCAGGGGTAGTCAACCTTGGCTCTTTTATGACTCGTGGACTTCAACTCCCAGAATTCCTGAGCCAGCTAAGCTGGCTCAGGAATTCTGGGAATTGAAGTCCACGAGTCATAAAAGAGCCAAGGTTGACTACCCCTGCCCTAAGTGTTTGTGGCAGTCAAAGACCACGCGTAGGAAAAGCCCAGGATCTTGGGGACTGAAGGCCCTGACCTTCCTAGAAACAAGCAATTCTGACTCCACCGTGGGAGTCCCTTTCGGTGTTTAAATCCCGAATATCCAGCGATATCACGTACGGAAGGCACTTTCTAGCGAACCGCAAAACTCTCCCTTCTCAGGCCTCCATTCTTGCTCGCTGAAGTCGTGAACCACCTTCTGGTTTCATCCAACCAAACCAGCGACGCCCGCCGACCACGAGTTTTTTTTTTCCTGCGCAAACTCCACTCTTAAATCCAGACGAGGGTGCGACAGGTTGAAGACGCGATAGCGGTGGCGCAGTCGGCGGCAGGCTGTCCCCGAGCACGAGGCTCCTCTCATCGGCGAGCTCCGCGTTGTCTTTAGCCTTGTTAAGCGGCGCCGAGGGTAGAGCAAGCGCGGGAGGGCAACTCTTTGGGTGGCCCAGTCCATTGGGATGCAGGCGGCGGCAGCGGCAGGCTCAAGAATCCTTGGAGCGACGAATCTTCTCCGGCTTAGCCATAGCGGCGACATTTCCCTTTAATCCTGCTTCTCTCAGCACAGAAACGTTTCCCCTCCATCCTCTCTGTTCTTAACCCTGTTCTCTCGTTGCAGCGGCTTTAAAGCGAGCAAGCAACCAACCAACCCGCCCACCGCCTCCTGTAGGGAATCGTTGAAGATTGTCCCTGGCCCCGATTTCAAACAATCAAGACCAAAACCACAAGCAAATATTCCCCGCGCCCGCCTTCCGCAAACCGCTCCAAAATCCGTGGCTCGGAAGGCGGTTGCTAGGCAAAAGAAAGAGGGCGTCGTCCCTGGGGAGTACGAGGCGCCCAAGTAGCCCGAGGCTCTCAGAAATGAGTCTGTTTTGTCTGAGATCGGGGGAAGCGAAGGTGTGCCTGCTCTGGAAATCAGGCTCTCTACTGTGCGGGCACCTCCGCCATTAAGCGACGAAGGTTTTCCCGCCCCCTCCCTCCCTCCAATCTCTTCATGCCGCCAGTGACTAAAGGATTCTTCTTCCCTTCTCGCCCCTCAACCAAAAGGAGGGTGGGAAGAGGAAGAGGTGAAACCCCCACCCCCAGTTATGCTCCCTCGCGCGGCGCTGCTTTCCAAAGTTTCCAAAAGCGAGCGGGTAAATGCGTTTGAACGCATGTGCCTACCAGAGATTTTTTTTTTTTGCCGGCTCCAAGCTCGAGCATTATTAAAGGCCGCCAGTATTAAAGGAGCCGCCATCCTGCCACCGATCCCAATACGTACAATACCTGGTGTCAATACGTAGAGATCCCAAAGTCAGCGCAAAAAAATTGCGCCCCTGCTGACCTTTTGCTGCCTCCTAATTCTATTCGAAAAGCGGCTACCTTCTGCCTTGTCCCGCCGCCTTATCGCTCGTTTCACCAATGCGTGTAACTGCGTTGACCTCAAACTTTTACGGACAGCGTCCCTTTCTCTGCCATATCGTGTTTTTTGAACTCGAGACCAAAAACCCCTCCATCGGGATTTGATGCGGGTAGGGATTCTACTCAGCTCCTCATTCAGGTTACGGGACCGGGGACCGCTACCATTTGTGGGGCCTTGGCGGGCCAAATCCTGCCCTTTCCGTACCCCGCAGTACCTTGAGTCACGGCCCCTCCAGTTCGGGCGGGGACCCCCTGAAAACTGCTCACCGGCTCCGTGCTGCTGCAGCCGACCACGTGAGGGCGTCCAGTGTGTTAGTTACAACAAATTAACCCGGGGCTAGTGCTCCCCCCGAGCTTCGTCAGCGCCCCCCGACCGGACAGAGACATGCGGGCCCCACTTTCCTATCTGAGCCATGTGCTCCCTGAGAGCTGGGGCTCTCTCTAGGAGGTGCAGAGCCCACGACATGGGGCGCCCCTATCCTCTGTCTTTCCCGAGTATAGGGTGCGCCTTTAAAATCGCCTCCGAAGAGCCTTTCCCCTCTCCGGAAAACTGTGACACCCAGGCAGCTGGATCAGGCACCGTCGGGAGGGGCAGATGCCAACAGCATCTCGTCTCTACGGCACCGGACGCGTGCACGAGAGCTCGGCGAAGGGGCCACCAAAAGCACAATTCAGAGCTTGCCTTTTCGCTCCCTGTTGTTGTTCTCAACATGGTCCGCTCCTGGCGCATATAAAGCGCCGTGGCGAAGCCCGCCCAGGCAGATTGCTTTTCTCAGGCGACGCGGAGGGTAGCTGTGCTCGGTCGCTGTGGTGGTTTCTCGGCTCCGCTGACCCAGCGCCCCGCGACCGAGAGCATCCCCGCAGAAAACGAGCTCCGAGGATCAGCCGAGCCCGAGCCCCCAACACTTTAGGCCTGAAAGCCGGTTTTCCAGGATGTCTGTTGAACTGGAAGAAGCTGACTTGCCGCTGACCGAGGCAGAAGAGGCGCCTCTGGCTCCAGAAAAGAAAGGGGCGGCCAAGAAAGCCAAAGGTGGGGTGTCGGCGCTCTCCCCATCCAAGAAGAAGAAAAACAACAAGAAAAAGAACCAGCCCGGCAAGTACAGCCAGCTAGTGGTGGAATCCATCCGCAAACTGGGCGAGCGTAATGGCTCCTCGCTGGCCAAAATCTACAACGAAGCCAAGAAAGTGGCTTGGTTCGACCAGCAAAACGGGCGGACCTATCTCAAATACTCCATCAAGGCTCTGGTGCAAAACGACACTTTGCTCCAAGTGAAAGGCACCGGCGCCAACGGCTCCTTCAAGCTCAACAGGAAAAAGCTGGAGGGGGGGGGAAGCGAAGGAGGCGCCGGTGGCGGCGGCGCCCACGCCAAATCCCACAAGAAGGCGGCGGTCGTGGCATCCACTTCGCGGAAGGTCGAGAAGAAGCCCGTCGCCAAGAGCAAAAAGATGGAGAAGAAATCGCACAAGAAAGGCGCGGGCGGCGGGACCGCCAAGAAAGACAAGGTGAAAGCGAAGAAAGCCCCCAAGAAAAGCGTCGCTTCCCCCAGCGCCAAGAAGGTGAAAAAATCGGCGAAGCCCAAGGCTCTCAAGAGCAGGAAATAAATAAGACTGCCCTCAAAACTTGGAGGGGGGAGAAGAAGCCGCTTCTTGTTGTCTTTCCGACCCAAGACTTTTGAGCCCCAAAACGACACTGACTTTTTTTAGCTCAAAGCACAGAGCCATGTTTCCAGCTTTGATTTTTGTCTTTTTGGCCCAATTTCTGCAGCATTTCTTCCCTCGGAAGGCGGGTGCGTGCAAAAAAGAGCACTGCGCTTTCTCCACCGATCCCCCCGCCCCCGTCGAGATCATTGGGACATTTTGGATCGTGGGAAAGGTTTATGCCTTCACCTCCCACCCTTGTTCTTTTTATTGGAATTATTGTTGCCGTTGAAGCTTGATTTTTCTGCTTTCGTGTTCTGCAAAAGTAGCGTGATATCGTTATAAAAATACTTCCCCCCCCCCACCCACATCTGGGCGAGGTTCGGCCCCTCGCCATCAGCCTCCGATTACTGCAGGGGAGAAGGGATCGTTCTTGGTGGATTCCTAAACTTTGAACTACCAGCAGGCTCGGTCGCCCCCTCTTTAAAAAAGCTGGGGTGTCATGGCAACAGCCTGTTGGATGCACAGGCGTCCGCACAGTTCCTGGCCAGGAGTGCTGGCGGCGCTGTATGCGGGGTGGGGGTAGGGTGGGGGGCGATCGTATGGGACCAAGTGACCAGCAGAGTAGCTGATTTTACCTCCGAGACTTGCGCAATCACTGCAGGTTTGAAATACGTATCTAGTCGGGGCGGGGGAAGGGGGGGGGAAACGCAGTTCACTTTCGCCTACAAGATTTTGTATCGTCCTTTTCAGGTCTCGTCTTCAAAATGCCTTTTTTAAAAAAAAAAAAAATTTCCTCGTGTTTTTGTTCAATAAACCGTTTAAAAAAACATTTTTCTCCCGTTCTGGTTTTCCTCGGTGTTGTCCTATTCAAGATGGAAACGAGAGACGGTCGGTTTTATTTTTTGGGGGGGAAGATGGGGATACGGGGGCGTTGGAATCCCGCGCGAGATGCCGAAATCACGGAGGAACGGGGGGGTCTCGAGGTGGCTACGGTCGAGGGGCTCGGTGCAGATTTTTGGCGCCCCCTCCCCATCAATGCAACTGACTGGGTGGGCGTGGCCGTTTGCTCCCCTTCTGCCTCATCTACCAGTGTTTCTGAACCTTGACAATTTTAAGGCATGTGGACTTCAACTCCCAGAATTCCACAGCCAGCATTGCTGGCTGTGGAATTCTGGGAGTTGAAGTCCACATGCCTTAAAATTGTCAAGGTTCAGAAACACTGATTAATTTAAGCTATTGGCGAAGATGCGGCCCCCTTTCCGGTCTCTTTCCCCCTAGGGGTTTTCTTCTCTACAGATCTTAACACTCGGGGGTAGCCTTGTATGGGGCGCAGCAGAGCCGCCTAGGGCCGATATAAAAATAAAGGTAAAGCAACCCTCTGGGCAACTCCAGGAAGATTAACCTTTTCACGCCCACCCTGAGGCGGACACGCCCAGACATTTTATAAAGCCCCCCCCCCCCCCCGCGCCATTGGCGAGTTCTATTCCTGGCCTTCGAGATAGTCATCTGGCGCTCTTGCGCATGCGCAAGCGGGGATGCCGATTGGGCGGTGGAGAAGAGCGATTCCCGAGCGGAAGTAGCGTCGTCGGACGGAAGGCTTCGGATTCGAAGATCCTGGGCGGGAGGGGGGAAGAGTCGAGGCTTCTAGCTGTGGAAATTTGCTCTCCCGTTTTTCTCGCGGCGCTCTTTGGTTCCCTCGTTGCTGAAGATGCCCTTGTGTTCGCTTACTGGGAAAGGCTTCCGGGCAGGGGTTGCTACGACTTTTGGCCATCCCACCTCCTCTTTGGTGTAATCTTAATGTACGCAACTCCCTTAAAAGACCCAAACACCCAAATGAACAGCAATGGACAATGAAAACAATACAACGAAACTGAGAAAGGCGGATTTATTGTGACAATGTAACCGAAAGGTTCTTCGTACTCAAAGGAGGTACGACTCAGAGAAACCCTCTTAGAGGAACGTTTTTAGAACCAGCACAATGCAGCCATTGCTGGTCATAACTACTCGGCCCCTCCAATCCCTCTGATCACCTTTTAGTGCCATTTCTTGTGCATGTGTAGGAAAGGAACTTGTAGCAAAATTAACTCTTCCCCATCTCTCCCACATCTAAAGCCCCTTTTTAATTCAGTATAAACCACAGAAACTAGGCCGGATGCAAAAACTAAAATGCTAGGGTAAGATGTCTTTCACATCTACCAAATACTGGTAAAGGACATGTATTATATTCCTTGTAACTCAGTATCTCCTAAAGCATTTGATGAATCGACTCTACTCAGGGGAATCTGGATAAATAAAATTCAAAACATGTAATTGGTAAAAAAACAGACTGCACTTTTATAATTCCAAGGATATTAGAAAAGTGGGCTAGGTCTTAGATAATTTTGGATGTGCTAGCCAAGACCCAGGATACTACATATTGTCTTTGGGCAAAGCAGCAATTCCCCAGAAGAGGCTGGCTTTCACTTTCTGCCTTCAGAAGCAAGAAAACACAAAGGATCAAGAAAACATTAAGGAGCCTATAAACATCTACATAGGTCTTTTCAACTATCCTTGCTGCAATGACCTGTACTGAAACTCAAGATCTGCTTTCAGAAAGGAGTAACTTGTTTAATCTTTGGGGGAAGGGTTGGCATGGAATTGTACTATTTCCATTTCACAATAAGTTACTTATTTCATTTATGGCTAAATTCATATTATACATTAAAACCTTCCCTGTCTGCAAAATTGCATCATTACATAGCTAACACTTAAGAGTTCAGGATTGGCACAAAGGTTATTAAGACCTGTTATTTCTGAGGTCTGGGAAGAAAGATCGAAAGCACAATACCATGGTACATGTTTACGGGGGTGGGGGTGGGTGTAATGGCAGCAGAGTCAGAAAATAGTTACCTAAGAAAGAGTTGCCTATTGCTCCCTAGAGTTTATCTTTAGCAAGATGACAGCACTCATCTTCCCACCATCCATTCTGTTTACCATAGAATTTAAGTCTTACTCTCATTCAACTGGCAGGGGAAAGCATTTTCCACCCTACTTAAGAGCAATAGGCTACCTTAGATGGGCACACAATATCACATATGATTAACCACCACTCTGCTCCCATCATCTGCACTCAATGCTGCTCCATTATTTTACCAGAAGGAAGAACCATTTTGGAGTCTACAAAGTACTCATCCTAACAACAAACTAGTTTCAACCACTATAACTGGAGGGACATAATGGTAGTAGAAAAAAGATCAACAGTGACCCTTCAGTAGACATGGCTTATGTAGGCATGGAAGCTGCTACAATCTTATTTTGATAATGGTAAGTTGTAAAAATAAGAGTAAGCTTTTATATCTAAACTGTAGAAGGGCATTATAACTTATTATAAAGGTCGTCGTTGATTTACAATAAAAATTATTAATATAGCTTGTTTTGAGGGTATAATATTGACAATTATCGCACAGATGAAGACAGATCATGGAAGTAGTTTTACATCTATGGAAATAAAGATAATAAGAGACTCAACATCACACCCTGTCTAAGTAAATCAAGGGCTCAAAAGTCAATCAAGTAATCAAGGGCTTTCTTAAAGCAAGTAGAAGCCACAAGAGGGAAGTAAGAATACATTTCTACCGTATCCAAGATGCTCTACAGCAGTTTTAAGTCTCATATAGCAGCTATAGATTTGCTTGCAAACTAAAGCACTTAATAAAGTGATACAAAAATTTTACATGCCAACACACAATTCAGCTTCAAATTTTCAAATAATACAATTTCCCCAGGTAATATGTTGATACAGTGGTCTGTTCCTAACTGCAAAAAAAGGTGTTATGGCATCATAACACAAACTCTGAACTTTCATATTTGTATCATGTCACACACAAATATGTAAGGGACAGTATTTATGACTATGCATATTTTGTCATTCCCCCCACCAGACCACAAATGAAAAAGAGCTTGGAAAATGAAGTTAAGGGACTCGCACTCTCTGACAAGATGATCAACACATTTCTGCTGTTGATCTTTCCTTTCTTCCAACAGTATTCCTAGCCATTTCTCTTTCCACAAATCAAAGAATTCCAAGCAGATAAATCAACATGTTGAGAGACAATGTTGATGTGTACTCAAGACTGAATCAGTTTAATATTTGTTTTGCACTTTCCAGTTTCACAACTTTTGCATTTTCTAATACAAAACAATAGTTGACATAACACAAAATACTGATTTTGAAAGTAATTTTTAAGAGACAGAAAACACAAATAAAGGAACTCTTGTTTTCAGCCATTATTTGCATTTCAAGGATTCCTTCCCTTCTTTGATGCAATCAGTGTTCATTCTCACAGAAAGCAAGAGCCTGCCCGATCCAGTACCAGAAAAATGAGATAGCTATTTAAATCCAAGAGGTCTTTTTTCCCTAGGTCTGTAATGGGCAACAGGCAAGACAGACATAGATAGGTAAAGTTTGTTTCTTAAGTATCATTAATGAGACTGTACACTCACCAGCAACTGACTGAACAAACCATATTCCTTATTCTGTTATTAAAGTATCTCAGCCTCCACTGGTTTAGATCTCCTTAGCTGAATCCAGAGTAAGACAATAGTTCATCCACAGATTTACATCCCACATGATGATTCGAACACATGCTACTTAACTGCACATACACAGCTGACCATATACATGATTACAGATTCTATTTGCTCAATAGCCTAGAGACTGCTGCATGCACATGGCTCTATAAACTTTTCACCTAAGCAAGCAAGTTTTGGCTCTGTACCACAGCTACTAGGCATTACAGGACAGGCTAGGCCAGCCTCCATGCTCATACGTTATCCAAACACCTATTTAGTAAACCACCGACACTAACTAGATATTTTACTCTTGTATAAATTATTTGTTTCCTAAAAACCCAACCTCCAAACATTAAGCTACTGAGGATTACAATTAGATGGATGCCATACTTGCACTCTATTTTAAGCACTAGAAGCAAAATTCCAAACAAAAAACACTGTGTATAGATTAAAGTGCAAACTGGGGTACAAATGCTAGACTTCAATCATTACAGGTGACATTACAAGAGAACTGATAATGGAAGGAGGAAACACAACAAAACTGCTTACTGTTTCAAGAAAACAATAACTGTATATCATTGAGGCTGAAAACCACAAAAGTAGTCACACTAAAATACTTTGATTTTAGTTCCAGTGACATCAAAAGGACAAAAGTAGACATAAATCAAAAGACTCTTGCTTGGAGGAGTTTCCAGATAAACTGGAAGCTGGAACTGTTAAGCACATTCAGATCTGAATATATCATACCAAAAGTAGAGATAAACAGCATCTCTCTTCCCCATTCTTCCCTCCATCCCCTTATTTGAAAATCTTCCTTATGGGGTGGCACTCCTATTCCACTTTTGCCTCTGGAACATATTAGCTGTTACAAGAGCTGCTTGATGCGAAGACTATAAAGCAGTGATGGCAAACCTTTTAGAGACCGAGTGCCCAAACTGCAACCCAAAACCCACTTATGCATCTTCGAGTGCCAGATGGGTGTGGCCCATTGGCTGGGCGTGGCTGCAGTGATAACGGCAGACTGGGTGGGACTAAAAAGTTCAATCAGTCAATTCCAACTTTGCAAGAACTTTTTTTCCCCTGCGAGAAGTTGAAATTGACTGATTGATTGAACCTTTTTTTTTTTTTGCACACGGCGGCGGAGGCCTAAAGCGAAAAGGTTTTATAAAACCCAGCTGAAAGCCTAGGACTGGGGCGACGACGCACGTGCCCACAGAGAGGGCTCTGCGTGCCGCCTCTGGCACCCGTGCCATAGGTTCGCCACCACTGCTATAAAGCAAAGATGTGTACATATCCTAGGAATTCTTAGAAAATCTTTGCCTCTCAGTCAAGATTTACTCATTAAGATTTTGTTGCAACACAAAAAACAAACTCAACAAAGAAACAGGAATGGAGTGCCACTACAACTACACAACAATTCATCATAAAGCAAACACAAGGAAAACATTAACATATGAAGCTATTCCTTTCTCAGCAAAAAAGTTATTTTCACATTTAAAATTTCCTGGCTACTTCCTTCCCTCCCACATTTTTAATCGATAAATTCATGATCACATTTAATGGGGATGTGCAACAGCATCAGAGAGATCAATCCATCACCATCTCCAGGACAGAACAGTTTTAAGAGATTAGGTTGAGTGTTGGTGCACCGCAATGGCCAACCCTCCTTCCTCTGTATACTCTCACCTTTTAGGTACAGAAAGAGAGAGAAAAATCAGCATTGTCACACAGTGAGGCCTATTGCCTAAGCAGCTCCTCGCCTTCCCAATGTTAGCCTGTGCTGCTTCATGACTTTCCCATCTTCAGGACTCTCATTTTTTCAGTTCTCCAAGAATAAAAATGCAACGACCATTCTAGTGTAAAAAGCCTAATCCTTTCCCCCCCCCTCCTCTTCTCCAGGGAATCAAAGCGATTTAAGGGAGCAAAATAAAGGTGAACACCCACACAGCTCCAAGGCAATGGATGTTAGGCTCAATCGTCCCAGGGAAAAGGGGCGGAGGAAAAAAAAAAAATCTATTTGCAAGGCGCTAAATGGCAGCCAGGCCCGAAGCACGTGCCCTTTCTGTGACACGAAAAATGAGGACTGCTCTTCCCACGTCAGTCTGCAGAACTGAAAAGGAGCAGGGACTCAGCGCTGGGCCAGGCGAGGAAGCGCACGAGGAACCCAACGGTTGTAGCACCAGCAGCACCGAGACGTGGAGCGGGGGGTGGGGAGGAGGAGGCAAGAGGGCCAGGATCAGATTAGCAAGAAAAGGGCGAGTGGGGACTGCTCTCAGCGCTGGCTGCACCAGGGCAGATGATGCGGTAAAGAAATCTGCCCGGCACTGGCTGCACCAAGTGACGGAAGGAAGGAAGGAAGGAAGGAAGGAATGTCCGGTGGCCGCTGCACCAGATCCTGTGGGTGGGGCGCAAGGAAATAAACGGCCGAGCGCTTTCCTTTAGCCAGGCAACCGGCCTCATTTCTTGGAGCTCTGGGTCTTCTTGGGCAGCAGCACGGCCTGGATATTGGGCAGAACCCCACCCTGGGCGATAGTCACCCCACCCAGCAGCTTGTTGAGCTCCTCGTCGTTGCGGATGGCCAGCTGCAGGTGCCGGGGGATGATCCTGGTCTTTTTGTTGTCCCGGGCAGCGTTGCCGGCCAGTTCCAGGATCTCAGCCGAGAGATACTCCAGCACGGCAGCTAAATAAACAGGTGCTCCGGCGCCCACACGCTCCGCGTAGTTGCCTTTCCGCAGCAGCCGGTGCACTCGCCCGACTGGGAACTGGAGGCCGGCTCGAGAGGAGCGAGACTTGGCTTTGGCTCTGGCTTTGCCTCCGGATTTACCTCGGCCGGACATAACGAGGCGAGGCTGGGCGCTCGGAGAGAGCGAGGCGCCGAGACCAGTTTGCAAAGCAGGCAGGCAGAAACGGCCTCGTCTGGATAACGGGAAGAAATGACATCCGCGTAAGCGGCGGAGGGGAGGGGGCGACTAGAGCGGCAGGATGCTGACGCCGAGCATTCCACACTCCTCCCGCCCGTGGCCTCGACCCGATCTAATGACAACCCGGTCCACGAGCTCCAATTAGCTCTCCTTGGGACACCCCCCCCCTCCCCTTACCGTTGGTTACTTCCACAAGGCCGCCGAGTACCCGCAGCTGCAATGACAACAAGCGCGAGGCGCTGAAGGATATATAAATCCAAGCACATCCTCTCCCTGGCTTCCCATTGGCGGCCAAGAGAGTGGAGCTGCGCTCTTATTGGCGGCCTCTCCGATCCCTGATTTGCATCGCGTCCTCCATATTCGGCCTCGGCTGAGAACTAGGGCAGCAGCAGAGCTAAAGGACTTGGATGCGTGCAAAAGGATTAAGTATTAATAAAGGAGAATATTTGTAGCTCACGGTTGATCTGAAGGGTCCCTGGTGCTCTCTGAGCTTGCTTGTTTTTTTTTGCCGACGTTTCATTACACAAACTAGGTAACCTCATCAGTACTAGGGAGGAGTGCGGTTTGTTGTCAGTTTATATTCTACTCTTGACTGTCAGTGTTGGTGGGGGAGGTCTCGGAGATTCTTTGATTGGGCTGTTTGGCTTCTTTGGCAGTTTCTTGATTAAGGTATTGTTTACTTGATTGTTGGTCTGATGTTAACCTTGGAGTTAATCTATGCTGATCTGGGTGCTGATTGCTGGAGGAAAGGTGCTTGGGTCTTTTTGGGCTGGGTGAGTCTCTTTTGCATAGTCTATAGATGTTGTTAATGTCTATGTGTCTAGTGATGGCTGATTTGTCAGAGTGTCAGGCTTCCAGAAATTCCCTGGTGTTTTTGGACTTGGGTTAATCTAGGATGGTCTCAATTGAAACTATGATTAAATCTGTATGTATGTTATGAAATTAATGATGAAAATTCTTTAATTTCACAACATAGACAGATTGAACCACCTGGCTGACTGTGCAACCAATCATAATAGTAATAAAATATTTGCTCACATGCTGGATTGGGCATTGGGGACAATTAATGCATGGTTTATTAACATGTTTGTCTACCATGTCCTACTATTACAAATTGTGAAGCATATTCAAGTATCTCTCAGCCCAACCTTCCTCACAAGATTGCTGTTAAGAAAAATAGGGAGCTCTATGTACATCACCTTGATCTCTTGAATGTTTGGAACTAATTAAAATAGCAAACTGCTATTCAAAATTGTTACTGGATGCTTCTTTATACTGAGCAGGTTATACATATTTAAGTGAAGAGAAATTTTTGAATAAGTCAGTAAACTGGGCTATTAAAAAGCAGGGAGAAATTAATCAGCTACTCAGTAATGTACAGATTTTTCCCCCATGCAACTATTTCAGCAACAGCTGTAGTCACTGTAAAATTATAATGTACAACTAATATTGAAGAGACTCTTCTTCCTACACCCATAACTATAAATTTGCACCCACACAATCAAATTACATAAAACTGTTGCAATGGCCAAAAAGGTTCACCTCAACCTTCAAAGGAGGTGTCCACAAAAGATCTCCATTCATGAAAACAGACAGTTATGCCCATTTTTAGCTTGAGCTCTGGATGTTTTTGGAACTAATAACTATCATCCAAAAGCCATGGAAAAATTCCATCCCTCGGTGACCTAAACTTCTTTCATTATCCAATAAGGAGATCTTAGAAAGCTGATTACAGGCAATACTCCTGTTTTCTTCAGTTCCAATTGTAGTCATTCTTAAATAATTGGAAAGGTAATCCTGCATCATTCCCAATGATAGTACAAAAAGGGATATAGCACAAGGGATATCACAAACTACAGAATGTTCAAAATGGTTACAACCTAAATTGGTACAAAAGTACAAACTCTTCAGAATTGGGAATACTTTCTGCACTGGATAATCAAATGCCCAGAATTCTGATTATATATATTAATGTACACTTTTATAAATACCAAAATAAGGGAGACTGTAAATTGTATTTTACTGTATTTAGTAGGAATTGCAGTATGCGTGCAAACAATGGGATAGCTAAATGCTTTTTTATTTCTAAAGCGGTGGTCAGAAGGTAAGAAATTAATGTCAAAAAACTTTAACTCTGAACAAAATCTTTATTTATACTACCAGCATTGTCTATGTATTAAAACCTTTAAAAATACCCCAATACCCTGCCTTATTTCTAGTGAACAATATTTCATGCATTTCAGAGGAACTTTGAATAATTGGAGCCCAACTATTTTTCTGCATATCTAATAAAATGAATGATCATGTAACCAAGTATCTTTTTTTAAAAAAAATTAAATGCTCTTCCCTCTCTCTAGCCCAGAATTTTGTGAAGAATATACATCTGCATGAATTTCAGCCCTATTCAGACTTTGTATATTCCAGCTTTTTGTGAGTGAAATAAGTTGATCTTATGCATAAAGGTGGATTTATCTTCTGAAATACCATTTTAACCACCCAGCTGTCCTTTGACAATAGTGGTCCTGATGTCTCTTAGGCTGAACCGCAACACTTTGCCTTGAGTCCAGCATGACTCATTGTAAGCAGCTAACATTTTGTCTTTATCTCTAAAGCTTTAGTTTACAATCTTGCTTTTTTTTTAACTAAATATCCAGTTATAATTAATACAGCCAACTAACACTGCTGCTTCTTATCTTCACTCTCCCAAAAAACAAGATTAAAGTTCTTTCTCTCTTCCTTGCTATTCTCTTACCACTTACTCAAAATACTGGCTATAGTGATGGCCTGATCATCATTATAACTTTGATGAATTTATTAAACAATTCTACCAAAGGTTTGGAATGTGCAGTAAATCCAAAATAGTGAAACAAGATCCTTTTGGAATAGCTTCCCAACCCATAGGAATTTGTATTTGTATATTGCTTGCAGATGACATTCTACTTCTTTCAAAACAGATAAAAAAGGGCAAAAATTTGAGCTGGTTTCAGTATAAAGTAAATGATCATTCTCACTATGCAGCAACAACAAATCTCTAGCCTTAACAGTGACCTATTTTTTCCCATAAAAGATGAAGCAATCCACAAAGTGAATTGAACAAATACTATGATGGTAACCATGACAAACCAAATCTCTGCTTGTGTCCTTGGAGGAGAAAAATAAATAACATTAAATCTTTTGCTTCTTACATATTTTGGAACGCTATTGCCTTTTCAAAATTGGCAAGGTCAAGTCAATGCTGCATCTATACCCTATTTGTTTCAGACAAAAAAACCTAAGTATTAAATGTCAAAGCTCATCTACTCAGCATCAGGAAGGAAGCACATCTGAAGTCTTATAAACTATTTATAGATTATACCTGCATTATAATCTAAATCGGGAGACTTAAATAATGCAATAACTCAATACATAAGACCCTATTTGGCTAAGCTTAGTAATAAGCAATATAACCAAATTTATCACTGCTTTTTCAGTTGCTTTGCAGAAGGTTCTCCATCTTTTTTGAGCCACTGATGCATTAAGTCCATGCTAGTTTTTTTACATGGTGGTGTCTGGATGAACTGGCTGGACCACTTTGGTAAATTGTCTTCATCCTTGTCATCTTTCTTGGGGCCTTTATTTTTTAACCAGTTCAGCATTACTGTGCTGCTTGCATTAATCTTGGTATTCTGAACGATACAAATTAAGAAAAATAAGATTTTTATGACTAGTTCATACAAAACCGTAGACTAATTTAAGGAATCTTGATATTACAATCTAGTGGTTTCATGGAGCATTCCGACTTGATGAAATGAAAAATATGACCACAACTGAGCCCAAAATTTCTATTGCTAAATGAGACGGTTGTTAAGTGGGCTTTGCCCCATTTTACGACCTTTCTTGCCACAGTTGTTAAATGAAGTGTTAGTAACACAATTGTACAGTGAATCTGGCTTCCCTATTGACTTTGCTTGTCAGGTCACAAAAGGTGATCACATGACCCTGGGACACTGCAACCATCATAAATATGAGCCAGTTGCCAAGCAGGCAAATTTTGATCACGTGACTATAGGGGAATGCTACAGTAGTCATAAATGTGAAAAACAGTCCTAAGTCACTTTTTTCAGTGCCACTTTGAACAAGCCCTAAATGAATGGTTATATGTTGAGGACTACCTATACTGAAAAGAAAAAAGATTCCCAGGAAAACAAATTTATATCTGATGACGGCAAATTCAGCTTATCAAGATCACACACACCAAGTTATCCAGAAAACTTTGATGAAGACCTTAAAATAGTATTTTTTTACCTTATGAACTGCTAAGCAGAATACAGATGCAGAAGATGTACATGCATTCCATCTTTGAATTTCATGCTCTCCAAGTCAATCAGTAACATCAATGCGACATTTATTTTTGTGAAGAGATGCTTAGCCTAAACAGGTGGCAGCATCTTAGTCAATCTCAGAAGCTAAGCAGGGTCAGCCATGCTTAGTATCTGGATGGGAGACTGCCATAAAATTACAAGGCTGTAAAATAGATTGGGAAGTTGAAACTATACCCTAGAAAATGAAATGCAAACATACCTTCTTGAGATCCAATTCAATGGGTAAAATGCATTCTAATGAATTATTTCTGGAATTGTTCACTATTGTTGATACAGGATGGAAGGCGATGTTTTCTGTGGGCTGGATAAGGTGAAGTGCTTCTTCTGTGGGTACTTCTGCAAAGTCCAGCCATTTTCTAACTGCTTCATCCCCATCCAGAATAGCTGGCATTCTAGACAAGTAGAAAGACAAGAGATTTTAGTGATGGAGATCCAAACTAATCCACAACCTGTAATAATAGAACACATAAAAGGCAAATATCAGTATGAATGAGATTCTAAAAACCAAATTCAGCACACACAAAAAAGGTCTGACATTGCAGCACTCTCATTAAAAGCTCACTCAATTTCTCCAAGGATTAAACTGATCAAGCATTAAACAATGCAGAAGGTTTGGAACAAAGCTTAAATATTACTGCTATTTGAATAAGTCATGCAGAAGTTACCATAGATACCTATTTCATACAGACATAAAAAGATTCCTCCATCTTATAAGATCAGATAAGCTTTCATATTCTGACTTTGATGTTTAAAAATAAGCATTTACTATCTGGTAAATACAGAAAAAAATAGATAAAGAGTAAGTGGCAATCGATGAAGCATTATCTTTAAGTTACTGCATGTTACAGTACGTTCTATGAGAAGCACTCCCTAGTCATGTCTCTTGCCTGTGATGGATGGATCTTACACATTCAGATGCATCTACTGTGATGATACTGTAACTGTACAATGGTTCTCCATTCTGGGGCTCCCAGCAGTCAAAAATCCCAGCCATGGTAAGCAGTTTCCTGCCTTTTGAATCTTCGACCTCATCTTCCATATCTGGTTTGGTGAACTGCAAATGAAAAGACAGTACATTAAAAAAAAAAAACCCTTTAACAGCACAGGATCGCCTTTTAAACAGACAAACATCACATCTTTAGATCTCTCATCCTCATCTTCTTGTAAATGAAGTTCGGTTTACTAATCCTTAACTAGCACCATTATTATTGCATGGAACATCAAATTATTATTGATTCTATTACTACTGCATAATTACATCACAATAACTGAAATTTAACTCATAATTCATAATTTGACACTAGAGAACAAAATGGTTCCTCTGGCACTGAATGCATTTTATAAATTAAGCTTGTGAACTACCTAAATTAAAATCTGTTTGCCAGTCCAGGCTCTGATAATTTCTTAGATTATTACACAATATCATATGTGAGGTTGTCTTTGAAGACTGCTCAAAAAGTGAATATCTTTAAAGAAAAGGTCTTCACAAATCATTTACCAAATTTTAGTAGCTAAAATCATGTGTTGGGAACTTATCTCCATTCCTGATTTCAGAATACAATTCAAATAACTTTATTTGATAAGCTGTATACAGCTTAGCCTGGTTTTCAGGCTCACCTTGTCATATCTTGAAGCAAGGTTAGTAATTTTAACAATAGCACTTAGATTTATATACCACTTCATATACCCTCCCTAAGCAGTTTACAGTCAGCATACTGCCCCCAATAATCTGAGTCCTCATTTTACCGACCACAGAAGAATAGAAGTCTGAATCAACCTTGAGCTGGTCAGGATTGAACTCCTAGCAGCAGGCAGAATTAGCCTGCAATACTGCATTCTACTGCGCCACTATGGCTCCATTTCAGTTGCATTACCACCATTCCTCAGGGCATTTTGCTTTGGGTCTACATTACTTACTTTTAGATGCTAGGCAAAAAAACCTATTTGTCCTTCAGATGTTTCTCACATTATGTACTTTTATTCATGCCAGGATGTTTTTAGCAATACATTTTATTCATTATTTTAAACTGTCCTGGAAATATCAAAGTGATCCGTGTATAAGTGCTGATTATTGCAGTTTACCAATGATACATTTGGAATTGTTAAATGCCCAGGGACTCAAATAAGTGTTTCAAAAAGTAGAATGTATGCTTAGGAATACTACATTTCCTAAATACAAGAGTCTTTAAGCAAGCAGGATGATACATGACCATCCTCAACCTGAGTTGCAGCAGCTATGACAAAAAGGAGAAAATGTAAAGGCACAGTTCCATCCATTTCTATCTGATAAATCTAATATATATTATATATAGTAGTAGCAATAATCTTTTATGGGGGCAGCTTTTGAAAAAGTATCAATGAAACATCAGCATTAAGTATAAAGATTGCAGTACTGTCATACCATTTCCTGCTCAGTTTGGGCAAAATAAATGAAATATGGCTGCTTTTGTCCATTATGTTGTCGCCATTCATAGTAGCCATCGGCCAGCACCACACAGCGTTTGCCTTTTGAGAGAGGTACCTTTGGGAAAAGAGAAGAGCAGGATGAATAGCAATCTATTCAATGCTAACTTCAAATGCATTAGAAGCATACATTTTATGGTTGTTTCTGGCAGATTATAATACTATCTCATAGAGCAGGCTATAAAACCATATTCAGAGCAAGAGGTCACTCTGTTTTAATTAGGACTGTGCAGCAATCAGGATTCAAAGGGAGAGAGAAAGATGGGTTCAAAGTGCACAGGAACACTCAGGGAGCATCTGTCAATAATTGCTGCAGAGTTCCTGTGTTTGCTTGACCACTGTCATTTAATCCCAGGACAAGGAACACTATATATGATTTAAGGTGGCGCTACCAGGGGCTAAAGGAGTTCACACCTGTGCTCCACCTTGCCATCTCTCCTTCAAATCCAGATTGGTGCAAAGTTCTAATTTTAATTATGACACTTTTTAACCTCCATATAGTAATTCCTCAACATTCACTGCTGTGTGAAAATAAACACTATATCACTTAAAATATAGGAGTGATTGCTGAAATGATGAATGGTTTCCCCCCCCAGATTAGCTAATCTTTGCTAACTGTTCTGAATTTTCTGCAGCACGGACACTGGTGTTTTCCTTATTCATCGGACCAATTTGTGGTTAATAAATCTTGAAGGCCACATTCCAGTCAGAATGCAAAGACAGAATTCTTCAGAACACCAGCTTCCTTTTCAGACTATGGCTTCTCTTAAAAGGGAGAACAGGAGGTTCCCAAGTGGAAATGTTTACACTGGGGCTCCTGACTTATTCAATAAGCTAAACTTCAAATCTGAATTATAAAACCAGCTTCCAGGTTCATAAATGATCTGAGGAATTAAATAATTTCTGCTTTGGTTTGTTCCTGATGGGATTTTGCTCCCTATTGAGAATAACTGAGGATTTTATTCATGTTACAGAATTACACTGATAAAACATCAGTGCAAGTATTGCTTAAGAACCTCATTTGTTTATATTAGATTGTAGCAGTTCTTGTTTTTATATTCCCCTACTCCAACTCTTTGAGGTCTGGGGGAAAAAAGGAAGAAAAATGCAACTGGAGAAAATAGACCAAAAATAAGTAAAAGCAGTTTCCCACAATACTGGTTAAACTACCAAGTCATTATAGATCAAAACTAAGGTTATTTGTTGCTATACAGAAGAACAAGGAGCTTTCCGGGAGGATGTCTATTTCCTCAATCATATGTACATCACTGCCTGATTCTGTTTAACTGTTATGCAGTAATCTGATCCTTCAAAAAAGGAAAGAACATTGTAGAAAAAATTAATTATATTCAACCTTTACGTTCGTTTTTAATGGGCTTATTTATACTACTGTAGTTCTAAAGGTCTGTCTTAAAAGTCAATATTTTGTTCAGTCAAGCATTTGAAATGCTATCACTAATTGGGCTTTCCTGTTTCAGACAAAAACAAGATGCAGAGTTTGTAGCATCTTGATATAGGTAGCATATTTTAAACAAAGCTCCAGTTTTCATATGTAAGTCAAAATTCATGAAGGTCATGGCTAGAAGGAAACAAATACGTTTCCCCCCCCAAACAGGCTATACAACTAACCTTATAGCAGAATTTCTCCATCATGGTATCACTCCGACAATTGGAAGTATTATACTGCATTTTAGATGGGTCAGCTTCCTTGAACCAAGCTGGAACTAGGCCCCAACGCATGGCTACAAGGATACGCTCGGAAGGACTGGCATTCTTTCATAAACCAGAAAAGGAAATATTGTGAAGAAGCACGCATAGATACATAGAATTAAGTTCACAATCAAACACTCTGTTCCAAAACCCTGTGTGCATATCACTCCTGGTACTGTGAATGCTGATATGTTTTAAATAGCAAAAACCTTAATTAATCAACTGCTTAAAAGGGAAAATCAGATTTTAAACAAGATATTTCAAGAAAGAGGCTGCACGCACAGATTCAGCTAAGGATATGCACCTTGCTTGAATATGCAACTCTCCATTTCTGAAGAATATGTTTCTGTGTATTTATATCTTATAAGTGGTTTGAATTTTGTCTTTGTTAGGAGTCTGTTGGTCTCAGAATTTCAGATAAGTTGATCAAAAACTCTTTGCTATCAACCAGTGATCTTCTGGATTTTTGCAGACCAAATATAGTAGCCCTATATTTTGTGGGGGGAAAAAACAATCAGCTAATCAGCTCGGTTACTGAAGGAATGAGTGGCAAAATGTAAATTTTGTAAAAATGTGGAAGGAGGAAGCCAAGTTGTTGGTATTATTAGAAAAGCTCAATATAGGAATTTTAGGGGTATATTGGAGTGCACACTGAGTCATATATTTCAAAACACCCCCCCCATCCCCCCCCCAAAAGGTAAGTCTTCTTCCAGATGAGCTGCATTCCTGGAGATTTCACAGACATGTCTGTGTAGTTTTCTTGGCAGCAATATAGAAGTGGGTTGATACTGCTTTTGGGGCGGTTTCAATTTTCAAGTTTAACAAACACACATGGAATTTCCAGGCTCTGTGATCCAAATACTAATTAGGCTAGATCTGCTTGGTTTGAGCCCAGACAAGGCCAATGCAAGCCAGAAGAATCATGCAAGTAAACAGTGCATTTATATATATCTTCCACTACCTATATGAGTCATTTCTCACACTTTTATCAGTTAAAACAATTGAAACACACCAACGGGTTTCATTTCTTCTTTTTGTCTGTTTAACCAAATTCACTTTCAGTGCTATCCTGTGCATCACTTCTAAATAGTTTTAAATTCAGTTTTTTTAAAAGCCCAACATTTTGTTTGTCTGAAATCTTACAATACACATTTAAGTTTAAATATTAGAAAATGTTGACAACTTAGTTTCTAATTCCATATTCATTATGTCTTCTTGATCAGTTTGGTGCTTTTACCACCACAGCATTCCAGATGTTTAAAATCACCCATACAATATTTAGTTTTCCATTTCCCCTCAAGCGTGCCCATTGCCCTTTTGTCTTGCCCTCTGCATGCTAATCCTGTGTATGTATCTCTTTTTCTCCAAGGATAAAATATTTTTTACTATATGTTGTTGCTTGTGAAGTGTAGCATAACAGATAAGTTGCCAATGAAGCAGCAGAAGTAATTAGTACTTTTTTTTTCTAGTGGAAGAGAAAAATATATGGCTCTGTAGCAATCTTTACTAACTTCATTTATTTTTCTCTCTTTGTGATTTTATGAACTGCTAAAACTTCTGTAGAATGCTATCCTGAACATTTAGGCAGGAAAATGAAAGAGGAAATAGTCTGAAAAAGCGTTATGCTCATATGAGGTTTCAAATTTGTGTATGCGCAGTGATCTGATACTTCATTATTTTAAAATACCCTACATCTTTGTTTTGAATTAAAAGTAAAAACACGTCACATTTAAGTGTTACCTTTAAGCTTGAGCAGTTACCATTATTATAAAATAGACAATATTATTATCTCCCCTCGTATCTATGCGTACATGTTTATCTAACAGATAATACAATACCATGCATATTTGAAAACCATGGAAAATCCTAAAATGTTATGGTGAATTCATTTAAATAAACCTGTGGCATTAAATCAAATATGTCAGTGATGGCGAATCTTTTAGACACCGAGTGCCCAAAAACCACCCCACCCCCTGC